ACATCCTGATGCCCAGCCTGAGCCTGGTCTGGAGTCAGTGAGCGGTCTGCCGGGAAAGTGGCCGTACATCCTGATGCTCAGCCTGAGCCTGGTCTGGAGTCAGTGAGCGGTCTGCCGGGAAAGTGGCCGTACATCCTGATGCTCAGCCTGAGCCTGGTCTGGAATCAGTGTGGACTTTCCACCAGAGATTTCTGCTGGATTTGAACTGTGGGTTACTGCGTTACGGTCTGTGCAGAATACAGCGTTCGCCTTGTTTCTTAAATGATGATTTAAAGCATGCAGTGATATTTTTTATGAACGGCATCCACAGTTTGGTTTCAGTATCATTTGGTGGCATCATTCGAGTTACAAGATACTTGAAAAACAGTGGACAGTGATTAATGATCGTTATCTGACGAGTGGCCATGTGTTGTGTTATTTCCAGATGAAATTTGATAATTTTTGGTAAGATCTGGAGAAATTGGATGGTTTATAAACAGAACACTGCTGGATTTTGATTGCGGTTGTATCCATTTACCACACTGGTCATATTGTGATGAAGCAAGCAAGCCAGATTGATGAAGTTTGTGTGTTTATGTGCTGTTTATGAATTGTCGTGTCCGTGTGCATGCACACACACACACACGTCACTGTCATTTGATTCACTGTCGGAATTGATAACCCTTCTCTGTGACAGGTGTGCACTGGCTTTTGAGAAAGATCACTGACTGTGTTGCACTGTGTGTTCTGGTGCCTTCGCAGAAATCTTGGGGCCTCTACTGCTTTGTCCAGATTCTGTTAATGCCCAGGCAAGTGACCAAGTCATGGACTCATCACTGGAAAGCAAAAACACACTGATCAAATGTAAATAACCATTTAAACTGAAAAGAGGATTCATGCTGATTAATTATTTTGACTAATGACTTCTGACTCGCAATCAGGGTTTTAATAATATGCACATCTGCCACGTGGTAATGATGGGATTCAAGGCAATTGCGACTTTCTTAGCGGAATAAGTGAACAGATTTGTTTTATACGCGATGCTGCAGTCCTCAGCCGAGAGGTGCTGTAGCCTAGCAGTGCCTGTCACACGTTTAATTACACTCTGAAACTGCGGTCCTTTCCAATTCATTTGACGAAATTGGCCGTTTTCAGGCTTTTAGGCTCCTATTTGCATTAGGGATGCACAAACGCGCCTGTCTGTGCGGGAGGCATTCTGCTGATTAGCCCGACTGCGCTAATGAATGGCGCAGCGTGATGCTGGCAGCGGCTGCCTGCGGGACAGCGGCTGCATGCGGGACGGCAGCCCGCTAATCATGCCGCCGTGTGAGGGCTGCAATTAAGGCTCAACGGCGCACGAACCGTCGCCTCTGCCCCGCTTTGGCCATTTAAACCAGAAATGTGAACGGAAAATCCGCCGCACTCAAAGGTGGTGATTTTGCTGCTCGTGCTAGTGAGAGTGTCAGGAAGCGTACAGACGAGAACCTTGTTAATCTTGAAGAAAATCACAGAAAAAAAAAAAAAAACACGGGGATATTCACCGCTACTGTAACCAGCAGCTGCCTCTACTGGTACTTGCTTATTTTGTTTACAGAATTTGTTTGGTATTTCTTAGGACCAGTTCAGTGGGTGTTTTCAGCACGATTCCCAGTGAACCTCGCGTAGGATAGAGGTTTTCTGTTTCAGCGTGAAATGTTTATATTAGTTGAGCTATTCCTCAGGCCCCTGGTTCCTCACTGGGAGACCAAGGTCACATCCCAGGAAACCAGTCATCTTTGCGTAATTGATCGTGATGTTTAAAAAGTCACACTGGGCTTTTCTGTTGGGACTAGCCTTGCTAACCAGGGACTGGAACATTGTGCTGTGAACTGGCCGGAGGCAAAGGTCCAGTTCCTGAGGCGTGTCGGCCATATTGACCGTCTCCCCCACCATGTGACTTGGGCACA